GTGCTCAGATTTTCCAGAAACCTCGGCCAAAATGGCCTTGGAAGGCATTCCACAGTGAGGAAGGGAGGGAAAGAGAATGTGTACAGAGGCATACAGCAACTCATGTTTTCATCAACAGCATTGATGAAGTATTATCCATGAAATGTCACAACATGCAATGGATTGTGAGGATAATGTTGAAGAAGAGGAGGAGGAGAAGGATTTCTCCTAGCTGACCAGGGCAATGGTCAGATAAATCTGAGGCCAAAGCTAGAATGAGGATGGAGAAAGCATTTCAGATTTGATCCTCCCTAGTACTCTAGTAGAGTAGCAAAAGTCTGATATGGCAGTCTTACAGTAAATGTAGTTTTACTATTCATGGTTTTGATGTTCAGGTCCAGCCTAACTCAAAGGGTTGACATAATTTCATAGACACACCCATGTAGGGTTGTTGTTCAAGTAGCTTGTACTGCCTTCATTTGAGAAGGCTTCATTTGGAACCTCCAGCCTTGAGTTCTCCACCTTCAAATCTACTAATTGTTTTCTAGGATCAGCCAAGGAGTAGATTTTGCCAGCTATTAATATTGAAACCAGTCTGCATTATGGACTAATATTTGTGTGTGTGTGATAAAGTGCAGCTTCATTTTTTGTGTGACTAATATTTATTACCTGACTTTACAATTAAGCTATGAGAATAAAAAAAATGGGAAGGAATAATTAATTTTGACCTCATGTAACAGACATTTGTGGGCGAGGGTGCTTCATTCAGATATGGTTGGTGTACCAATTATAGCATTATCTGGATCAGGATGCTTTGGTATCCATAATCCATGCCTTTATTTATGGACTTGCTGATCTACTGCAATTCAGTCTTTGTGGGGCTCCCTTTGTAGATAACCCAAAACTATAGCTGGGACAAAGCACAATAACCAGAATCCTGGTCAGACAATTTCACCAGAGCAGAATAACATCTATTTTATACTCATAACACTGACTTGCAGTAGACTTTGAACCCAATTTGAAGTTCTGGTCATTAAAGCCTTACATAACAGAGCACCAAGATATAACAAGTAGCACCTTGCCAGAATAGAATCTGTAGGCCCAGTTTAGTCATCACAAGAGAGACTGTTTAAAGTCTTCTCCACTTCCAGGTTTTATGGGGAGTGGGAGGTTAACCAAATGGCAGATCTTGTCATAGTAGCCCACACATTTTCATAAGCAGGCTAAAACCTATTTTGTTGTGTTGTAACTCCAATTGATTGGGGCACCACAATGGATTTTTTAAAATATGAATGAGAAGTCTATGGTATCAGCTGATATCTGTTAAAAATGTGTTTGTGTTTATTCCATTGTTTACTGCCCTGAAGCCTTTGGAGGTGAGATGGCTTAGAAATATGAAATAAAATTAGTACATGAATAAAATAAAAGGCTATTGAATTTGCACTGATGCTCAAGGTATAGTTTAAACTATTGCTCCTTGTGTAAGCCATTGACAGATATAAATTATGAGGAATTCCTTCCTTCTGCTTGCCTGAGCAGTAAAAATTGTCCTTTGCCAAGACAAACAGAGCTTTGTTCCTGTGCTGGTTGTGAAGCAATTTCCCATGGTTAAAGTATGTTAACAGGCCCCTGACAGTATAGCCAGCTCTGAAACGATGTCAATATATCTACAAAGGTCAGTCCTAGGCTGCTATTTTGACAGGAAAAGATTATTGGCCAGAGGCCACAAAGGGCTTCTTCCATTATATATCCTAATGGGCAGAACCAAGTGGAAGCAAAGAAAAGTAGTTAAAAAGTTCATTTTTGCTCTCTGGTAGCAATTTCCAATTTTGTAGGGCCCCAGTGAGATGCTCTCAGACCCGGCTTCTGCATATGCTTTTTCTTTTTTCTTTTTTCTCCTCTCTGTCTCTACCCACATATTTACCCCTTCCTTTCAGCCTTAATTTAAAGCAACATTTCTCAACTTCAGCAACTTTACAATCTGTGAACTTCAACTCCCAGAAGTCCTCAGTCAGCAACAATAGCTGGGGAATTCTGGGAGTTGAAGGCCACACATCTTAAAGTTGTTGAGTCTGAGAAATACTAGTCTAAATTGCTTACTGGGAAACAAGAGTATGAGACCATTGGAAGACTCTTCACAGTATTTGCCTACAGAGTAAAAAAATGAGACCAGTAGCTGAACTAGGAGACCAAAAGTCAGTAGGTGATACTTTGGCAAGTGACAAGTTAATCCATAGTTTCAATCCTGCAACCTTGGCTATACCCAGGGCCAAGGGTACTTAAACAAGTTATCCTAACTATGTAACACTCCAAATACCAATCCTATCTCTGTACCCGGATAGCACAGCAAGGAGTAGTAAAAACTCCTGTATGTTCCATAGGTATATATGGGATGAGGTGGGATTCAAATAATGTAACAGCTGGTTCTAATGATGTCTTCCAACAACCAGTTCACCAAACTGCTCAGAAAATTAACAACAGAAGTTGTTCGGAACTCCCGAAGTGGGGCAAACTGGCTGAATCCCACCACTGCATGAGAGGATATTCATCCTCTTGTAATCAAATATCTCTGCCTAGTTACTTCAGAAATGAGGTTGCTACCATGTAGCCAGATCCTATGTGAAAAATAAGTCATGGGTGACAAGCATGTGGAAAGGAGAAATGGACATTTAAATGGGAGATAAAAATTACATTCTTTTCACTCTCCTCACTTATTTTTTGAAGGATAACTCAATTCAAAACAAACCAACACCCTTTACAAAAGCTCGGGTTGGAGGAATTGAGAAAAAAGTAAAATACAATATGTGGGGTAGCATCCTTTAATTAGAATTCTATCTGGTGTAGTCATAAGAATTGTACAGTGTCCCAACAGTCTTAGTTTTTAAAGCTTAAAACTGCACTGACTTTGGGGATATCTTGTACTGTAGTGTTATCCATAACACATTATCAACGCTAATGTGTTGCTACCCTATGAACTGAAAATCTCCACTTCAGCTTTGCACATATTGGTCCTGCTCCTAATACGTCATGAATATGTAGCCCACTTTGTGAAGAAAATGCATTACCAAGTAGCAGGGTAGCGATAGGGAGAAATCAGAGGCAAACAGGTCTAATTCCACATTTTCAAAGCAACACGCAAACTGGAATTTAGTTGTCATTCAAAATTCAAAATTATGCATGCAACACCCCCATAATAAAAAGAAAAATCTGCACAAAACCCCATATACTATATATTTATGAGAATTGTGTACAAATTTCTATTAGGGAAATTGTAAAAAGTAGATTCACTAGGACAATAGACATATGTCAGTAGAACAGTGCACCTAAAGTAGTTTTTTCCCCCTGTGTAAATGTTCTTTTGGAAGATGAGGAATCTTTAAATTCAACACATCAGACTTGACATACAGTACATGAAAAAATTAAAAATGGAGAAACTGAAATAGGCAAATACACCTTCCTCACGGCAGAGGAAGCAATTCACATTCAGAAAAGAAATCTATTCTTATACAGCTTCTTTCTGCTTCTTCTTATACAGCTTCTTTCTTCCACATCGCATCCACACATTCTGCTACCTTTAAAGTCTCCCCCAACAGGTTTCATTTTAGTTGTATGCCTCTTTCGCCAAGGACCTTTCCTTATCAGCTAGCCAACTAAGGTATTAATTTGAGACAGACTAAACCCTGGGATCTATGTCAGTGCTCAGTGTAATACTGGTGAAGGGACTTTTTTGAACACAACCTTCCTTTAATTGTGTCCAAAAATATCTTCTCCATTTATAGAATAAACAACACACTTCATTGCGTATTTGGAATTAGGAAGAGCCATTTTCTATATTCAGACCATTTTTTTCACTAGTGACTTACAATGTTTTCTAACATCATCCAGCCATCATTGAAGCAATAAAAAGTCTGTCTTCATTACCATTATATTAGCACAAAGAGAGTTAGATGATGGTAGAAGCCCTGCTCTTCTCATTTCAGGGATTAGAATCTGCCTGGCAACCTCTAGCTGCACAAAGATTCTGTAGGGAAGTCCATGATAACATTGCCTAAATGAGGACAAAGGGACATTTAAAAGGAAACAGAAGGCCAGTTAATTTTAGGAGTAATGTGAGCATAGGATACTGGGGAAAATGCAGCAATCTCATCCCTGATTTTTTTTCCCCTCTTCCTCCCCCCCCCCCCGCTGCATTCATCTGTCAATGTAAAACTCACCCCACCAAGCCCCCCAGTATTTTGTTGCTTGCTACTGCAGGCATCTTGGTGCAAACACTTGAATGGCAGCCAACAAAGAAGATGAGCAGGCCGGGCAAAATATGTGACACCAGCGCAGGTGTTTCTTGGATACAAAATCTAGATGCATTCTCAGAACACATACATCAGTTGACAGGATAGCTAGCTAGCAGTCCAGCAAAGAGAAGCAAAGACTGGGAAGTGAAATCTGTTTACAGATAGGGAGACTGACTCATTAGAGGTAGGAGGAAGAATAAGATGGAGGAAATCAAGGGAGGAAAAAATGATGAAAAGGTAGGGAAGGAGCTCTTTGATGAGAATAAAAACTGCACATTGCATAAATGCTTAAAATACAGAAGGTGGGGGAGAGAGGTGGAAAAGAAATATAGGCTAATGAATGAGTCACCTAGCCATGAAGGATTATGATGTTAGTATTGGTGAAGAAAACAGGAGCTGAGGGAAGACCAAAATTGTTGCTATGTTTCACAGCATGCCTTCAGGCATTGTTGGGCTACAGCTCCATCATTGGCTGAGTATGATGGGAGTTGTACTCCAGTAAACATTTATGGAGAACCAATACAAAAAAGGCACACAAGGACAGGAGGATTGGAACAAAATTGTTTTAGAGAAAAAGTAAGAGAATGAAACACATCTGTAACAAAAATTAGGAAGTAGGAGAAAGGCCACAGGGACCCAGTGCAAAGGCTGAAATGAGGATTTTCATCCTTTGCCAGGATATTTTATCATACTTGCTCTGTTCATTACTCGGTGCCCCAACACAGAACTGACCTTATGTAGTTTCCACATGGCGCCCAGCGCCTTCACCTCATGACTGGAATGCTTGCCTTCCTCCAGACACTGGTAACAGACAGGCATCTTGCACTGCACGCAGTACATGCTGTGATTCTCTAGCTCATGGTCAGTGCAAGTGGAGATCTTGCGTGGACTGAGCCTCCGGCTGACCCGGCCCTGAGCTGGAGGCACCAAACGGTGCTTAGCCAGGGGCCCCCGTGGTGGATGGCAGCGCAGCCGGCATGGGTCACAATAGAAGACGTCGCACTGTTCACACATGACTGTGGCCTCCTTGGGTATCTTTTCACACAGTTGACAGCGCAGAGCAGCTGCTTTGCTTTGCTGGTAACGGTCAATGACACCTTCCAAGACACGATTCTTGGGGAAACCACGAAGGCCCCGCTCATCCAGAATCAGGCTGCGATGGCACTGCGGGCAGGTGAGGCAGGAATTGCGTGGCACTGGTGCCAGTGAGGCAGTGGCTGAAGCCGGTGGGAGATGTGCAGCTGGCGGGACAGTTGGAGGGAAGACACGCACACCATTGGGTGACTTCTGACATGGTGTAGTGGGTGCACTGGCAAAGCCCCCATACGAGCCATAGCCGCTGTCTGCCTCACTGTACAGGCTCATCTTGTCCAGGTCCAGGTAGTCATAGTCGGATGAGGAGCCAGCTGACCCCGAGGCACGTCGGCTCTGAGGCGACTCCGTCTCTGGCGTCTGCACCAGGATGTTCCGGGCACATGCCTGGCACAAGTTATGTGAACAGGGTAGGATTAGAGGTTCCCGGTAGAAGGAGCCGCATACCGGACACTTGAGCTCCTCTTCCATCTCTTCCATGGGGGTCTGTCGACCCTTCGAGCCGCGGGTTCAGCGGCCGCCAGTAGGACAGGAGCTCGGACAGTGGGCGCGCTTTCAGTACCACGGACAGCGAACCCGCCAAGCGAGCCGCGCGTGTCTCCAGCCTGGCTCACCTCGAGCCAAGCTAGATAAGAAATGCCAGCTCCGAACTCCTGCAGCCTTCCCACCGCTTCGTGAGCTCCGCCTTCTTGGCTCATCATTGGCCGTTTGCGCCGAGTGCTGAGACGCCATTGGACCAAGGCAGTCTCCTAGACCCCCGCCTGCCTGGGGATACTTCGCTTCGCCGCCTTGCTTTTCACCCCCGCCTGCTCCTCTGCATGAATATGAGACAGGCGGAGGTAACTGCTGGGGAAGGCGGAGATCGCCTCTGAGCCTGATAGACATCCTCGGACTTGCAATTGGTGGTCATGGGAGCGAGGGGGGGGAGAGGGAATGTATGTGTGTGAGTGACAGTGTTTGGGGTGCACAACACAGAGACATTCCTTGCAAATGCCCCGTTCCATTAAAGAGTTAGTTATTAATCTCGTTAATAAACGCCTCCCTTTTTCTCCTGCCGGAAATAGAAGATTTAATGGCAACAGCCGTCCTTTTCTGTTTTCTTTCCTCGCACCAGTTGGCATTCAGAAGTACCCCGCCTCTCAAGTAGTTTATCAGAATTCTCGAATTGATAGGCTGGGTTGGTCAGAAACTTGCAATTCCCAGGCAGAGATTGCTAGCAGCGAATTTTGAGGTATTTATTCTAACGTATTTGAAGAGCATCCGGTTGGGGAGATTATATTTCATTTAGAGTTATATTGGATGCTCATTCTTGCTGCCCTTTCCTTTGACACTGTCTAATTTTAAGTATTCAGAATATCCATTACACATCATAGCATTCTAACAAATTATGCCACTGGGTGATGATTTGATCTATTTGCTGGAAGTCCAATTGGGATTAAAAGAAGGAAACAAAGACAATGCTTGGGTCTTATTTATTCTGCCATTTATTATAAACCTCTTATCATGTTCTCCCCATACATTTGTCTAAGAGGGCACTCATAGTTCAATAGCAGAGGGTACATTCTGTACGTTCAGTCATCCATTCATTTTTCTTTCTCTTGATTGTAATGAACAGAACTGTGCTGAATGCTAAAATACGGAATTTAAATACAGCGCATATGCTCAATACAACATTCCTTATTTCGTGTTCACATGTCTGCTTGATCATTGCTTCCATTTTTTTCCAAAGGGAGGGATAAGGATGTGACATTATTCAGAAAAATGCACTTTTCTGTTTACCATGCTTCCAATCCAATGATGGGTTGCAAATATTTTACTACCAGTTTAGGCATGCTCCCCCGCACGTGCAATGCTTCTGCACATGCGCAGAAGCATCCAGGCGGGTGGGCTGGGCCTCCCGCCACTGCTACTACCAGTTCAGCCAAACCGGGCCAAACCAGGAGCAACCCACCACTGTTCCAATCCCTATATCCTAGAAAGGAGTTTGAAACCAACCTGCAATTATCTTCTGTGGGAAGTTATCATCCAGCCCTCTCCCAGAAAAATGAAATATCCTAGGAAATATTGAAAAGGCAGAATATTTCTCTGGATGTGAAAAGAAAGAAACGTGTTTTANAATTTTTACCCTCTTGGTTGATAGCCCAAGCCAGTCCTCTATGGCTTATTCAAAAGATCACAAAATAAATCATCCTTTAGGTACAAAAAATATCTTAGCATTTCCCATATGTCTGAAGAACTACCTACTGGGTCATTAAATAATTGGAAAAGGCAGAACTAAAAGTGTCAGTCAGGTGGTTGAGGAAGTGGGTCATTCTGCTCCACCATGCTCCATCATATTTAACCATTCTGCCTATATTATATCTGTCCAAGGACTTGGTTTTAGTCTCAACGATAGAACAAACATCCTGTTTAGTACAGGTCTCATTCATGTTCCTAAAGGAAATAGCAGCTGTGAGAATGAAGTGGCCTTCCAATTAGTATTAAGGGGAAAGGGTGGGTTGGAACTCTAGCATTGGAATTAGTTGCTTGGGTCACATCAAAGGGCTCTATGCAGGGGTGAAATCTAGCAGCTTCTGACAGGTTCTGGAAAACCAGTAGCGGAAATTTTGAATAGTTCGGAGAACCGGCAAATACCACCTCTGGCTGGCTCCAGAGCGGAGTGGGAATGGGTTTTTTGCAGTAACCTTCCCCTGTGGTGGGAATGGAGATTTTGCCGTATCCATCCCCTGCTATGCCCACCAAGCCACACCCACCAAGCCACACCCACCAAGCACAACACGCCCACCAAACCATGCCCACAGAACCATTAGTAAAACAAATTTGAATTTCACCACTGGCTCTATGTTCTAAATGATGTATTCCATTGATTTGGCTGGAAATTTTTATAAAATAAATGCACTCACATTCATCCTTGTGCAATCCACACAAGACTCATTTGAATTGAAGGCGGCTCCAAAATGAAGCAGGAAGCCATCCCCTTATGAAGCAATTAGCAGCTCTCTAATTGAAACAATTAGCGGTTGAATGTCTATGGAGATTCTCAGTCATCCAGGTCATGGTTGTCCCAAAGGTATTTTTTCAAGAAGCTACTAAACTTTCAGGTTTTTCTTTTCACTACTCATCCAAGAAGCTTCCTCAAAAGCTCGACTTACAACCATTCACTCAGCGACTGTTGAAAGTTACAATGGGCACTGAAAAATGTGACTTTTGACCAATCTTCATACTCATGACCTTCAATTTAAATATTAGAGTTCCTACTTTCTAAGTAGTAGGGCAGTGGTGGCTAATCTTTTTGTCCTAGCGTGCCAAAAGTGTGCGTGTGTGCACAGCAGTATGTGCCCACAACCATAATGCAATGTGTGCTCAACCCCATTGCATGATCCCTGTGAATGCATGCATAACTCCCCCCACCCCCGCGCATGTGTGCACAACACCACCCCCTGAGCCTCATATTGGGTTTAAACCTCCTGGGACCAAAACCAGGGAGTGGAGGGGTGCCGCACCCCCGGGTGACCCCCGGGTGCGACCCACCCCACCCCTGTGCATGCACATGCATCTCCCACATGCGCGGCAGAGACCCAAAAATCAGCTGGCCAGCAGGAGGCGTGCGCGCATGCATGGTGGAGCTCAGCTTGGGCGATGGCTCGCACGCTCTCAGAGACGGCTCCACGTGCCACATGTGGCACGTATGACATAGGTTCACCATCACAGTAGTATGCTCTGCCTCATTGGCTTATAAGGAATCTCCAGTATCAGGGCTAGAGAAGGATTTCTGCCAGAGTTTACAGAAGGCAGTGAACAGAAAATGGCTTATAGTTCGTTTGCTTGAAATAAGCAAATGAGAAAAATTGTGTTAATATTTCAGTCTTGCCAGTGGTGGGTTGCAGGCGGTACGCCCCGATATAGGCATACCGGAGCCTGCCTGGAGCACTGGATACCGGAACGGTATGATGCTCCGGAGGGCCCGCCCACCCGCCCGAGCTCCTTACCAGTCTTTTAAGTCTTTGGCACTTCCATGCATGGTACATACAGCACCAGGGCAATGCTCTGCTGAGCAGCTGGAGCATCACAGAGGCTCGCGGAGGCACTAAGTCGCATGTGTGTGCTGCGTGCGTGCGCACGCACGCTGCTCGTGTCCATATGGACGCTGCTAAGGCCCGTTCCAACCATACTGGTTGGAACGGGATCCAGAACTCACCACTGAGTCTTGCCCTCCAAAACATGCCGTGTATGTTATGAAAAACGATAGGGAAGTAGTGAAGACTCTGAGTAGTATTACAAATAATGGATGATGTAATCAGTTAATTAGTTCGGTGCTATCAAATCTGGTCAAAATCAAAGCCACTGTATAAGGAAGTATAAAGAAGATGCCTGCCATCTCATTTTTTTCTCATCTCGTGTCATCGCATGTCATCTCGTGTCATGTCATCTTATCTTTTTATTCATTTTACAAAACTTGCAAGCTGCTCCAATTAAAGCTGACTTGGAGTAATGCAGAATTCCCATACTTATATTTTTATTTAAAATTAAAACAAAAAAACATAACATAAATAATAATAATAATCCAACAATCCAGTGGGGGAAAAATATGTAAAAAGTGAGAGTATAACTTTAGTCCAAAGTTATACATCATTCCTCACCAGAAGAAGCAGCCACAAGATTCCAGGTCAATGGTTTGAGGTAATAACCATTTGTTAATAGATTGTCTAAAAGCCAGGTAGGAGGTGGGGTGGGGGGTCTTCAGATGTCTAAGGATAAACTATGCCAGAGGAAAGAACAGCAACTGAAAATGCATACTTCTGAGATCCCTGCAGCTAGTAGTCCCTGAGAAAAAAGATCCTGGAAAGAGTCCATCCATTTTAAATTTCTTGGGCAGGCAGATGTTACTGGGAGACAGCAGTTCCATAGATCTTGATCTTTCTGTGGTAATCCATAGGTATTTCAAAAATAATCCAGTGGTCTCCTTCCCAGCCTGTCCACTTTATTTATTCTCTTCAGTTATTCTATTCCCTCAATCTTACCAAACACAGTTATTTTTTTCTAGTCAATCATCTGTCTGCATTACATGCCAAAGTAGGTGAGCCTCTACTTGCTAATCATATCAAGAGAACAGTCAATGTTTATTTCTTCTGGGCCCAATTGATCGGTTCTTTTTGACAACCATGAACTTTTAGTAACTGTCTCAGATCCATCTTTTGAATGGATTCATCATTTGAATCCCTCTTCTTGCATTTATTCAGAACATTTTTGTCATACGAATATTCTTATCCCTTATGTTGTTATCTAAGTTTGGTATTGCCTTCTTTACAAGGATTATTCTACCTTTTACTTTTCCATCAAACTGTCCATCTTTACCTATTCCTGAGTCCAATAAAACAAAGCTATTTACCACTTATTTGCCATCATTAAGTTACTGATATTTTGATCCATAGCATATTAAGTCATAATGAAAACATGGTTAACATGAATGTCCTAAGCACCATTTGTTATAAACTCTGTATGGTTTC